CTGGGAGTTGAAGTCCACAAGTCTTAAAGTTGCCAAGTTTGGGAACCACTGCATTAGTATATGGACATATATCTAAAAGGCCACTCATATCTATTTGCTAGTCTCTTCCCATCTTGTACCAAAGTTTTCTTCTTAGCGTTATGTAGGGAGTGTTTTCAGCTTTGCATACAGATGCATCTATGCAGTCTTTAAATATCCAAATGGTATTTAGGAAAATGATATCATGTGCTAGACATCTTGCATGCAGATGTTTTTGGCCAGGCTTTTTTGGCTCATCCCCAGAAAAGGGATTAATATGTGTTTGAAAAAGAAATCCTGGTCACAAAATATAAACAAGCTTTGCAATGGAATGATGAGATCCATAAGCTTCTAATATTTTATTAAAATTGAATTAAATCAAGCACATTCACAAAGAATTGCTGAAAACTTGTTTTAAATTAATATTTATTAATAAGAAAAAAGAAGCTATAATTAGAGAAATTTGTAGTGAAAATACCTATTGGGACTGGGGAATATATTAAATTATGCTATAATTGATAGATTAAATATGCATAGCTACATAAGCAAATAGGTAATGAGAGACATATACATGACCATTAACAAATGTATACATACAAATGACATAATACATGCACTCTTTCCCTTAGTACTCTGTTTAATTTACTGACTCCATAAACATCTTCTGCCAATTTTTTTTTAAAATATGGTAATGCAAAGCAATTTTGCTTGCTCTAATTCTGGTGCCAGATTAGGTAATTAGAACGGTGTCTAATATCCTTCCAGTAAATGTTTCTCCATAAATGCAAAATGGAACTGAGGGTCTGTGAGTTACATTAGCTTAATGAAAACAAGACTTTAATGCATATTGTTACAGCAGCATTTCAATGCACTTATTAAGGCCCGTGTTCCCACAACCATATGGTTTTTGTCATTAATGTCTCCTTTGAGGAAATGCACTAAAATTAGAAGAAGAAAAGAGAAGTTGCATCTTTGATTCTAGTGATCCCAAATAAATGATATGACAACCATATGGTGTGAAGCAATGATGGAAAGGTCTAGAAGTATTATTGCAGCCCCCCTCCCTTATTCTCTTTTGTTTTCCTTTTTTTTAAAGTTGTTTACTTCACCATGATAATATTTAGGTATGATGAGTTGCAACACTGAAATACTTCTCTCTCTTAAAGACATGCAGAAAAATAAAATCTCATTTGGTGTAAGAATTGTAACTGAATCTTTCTTCCTACCCACTTGCCTTATTAAACAACTGAATAAAAACATTGTACAGCAAGTAGATAATGACAATGAAAAACAAGTATTTGTCCTGTGGATATTTGAAATGATAGAAGTTGCTTTTGAATTGAAATTAAAGTTTCTGTTTTATGGGTATTTTTTTATTTGCAGAAGATTTGTTGTGATTAAATAATTCTGGATTCATCCCAGCTTCATATGTATCACAATATTACAGTAAAATATTAAATTCTGTAAGTAATGCATTGTAATTTATTTTATATTCTGCCACCTCATATGTCTATGGAGATTCTCAGTAATCCAGGTTATGGTTGCCCCAAAGCTGCTTTTTCAAGAGGCAACTGAACTTTCTTGTTTTTCTTTGAAGATTTTGCTTCTTATCCAAGAAACTCAGAGCTGAAGAAGCTTCTTGGATGAGCAGTGAAAACTCTTTAAAGAAAAACAAGAAAGTCCAGTTGCCTTTTGAAAAAGCTTTTTTGGGACTGCCATCTCATAATTTATATATAATAAATTGGGACTGGGAAGAGCAATATTGTTGATTTTGTTTTAGCTAGGAGCTACAAAGTCTATGGATGATTACTTATTTTATTTAAAAGGTTTAAATGGATGCCCCTCTCAACCATAGTCGAGCCATAAAACATAGAACATTGAGAACACAGAGAGTGAGTTTGGTCTAGTGGTTAAGGAACTAGTCTAGAAAGCCGGAAATTGTGAGTTCAAGTCCTGTTTAATCCATGAAAGCTAGCTGGGCGACCTTGGGCCAGTCTCTCTCAGCCCAATCTACCAAAGGGTTTTTCTTGTGATGAAAATAGGAGGAAGGAGTAATGTGTGTGTTTACTATCTTGAGGTCAGGGGTGGGTTCCTGCCAGTTCTAACCTCTTCTATAGAAGAGGTTCCACAAATCTACCATGCCGTTTAGAACCGGTTCCAGCTCCCTCCCCCCGCCCGTCCGCACCATGCTTGCCCTGTCCTTTGTTCCTTGTTTGGTTGGTGACCAATCTCCCCGCCTGCCTCTAAGAGTCCTATCTAAACCTTAATGTCTTAAAACTGTCAAGTTTGAACATCCCTGGAGTTTTTTTCTAAAGGGCTAGGGGTGCAAAAGTCTTGTAACTTTACAGCTTTAAGACTTGCACACCTCAATGCCAAAGTTCTTGAGCTAACATGACTGGTGGAGGAATTCTGGGAGTTGAAATCCAGAAGTCTTAAAGCTGTCAAGTTTGAACACCCCTGGGGTTTTTTTTCTAAAGGGTTAGGGGTGCAAGGGTCTTGTAACTTGACAGCTTTAAGACTTGCGTGCTTCAAATGCCAGAGTTTCTAAGCCAACATTTTGGTTGCTAAGCAAGAGGGTTGTTAAGTGAGTTTCACCACATTTTACAAATTGGCCATGCCCACCCAGTCACATGACTTCCAAGCCACCCCCACCCAGTCACATGGCTGGCAAGCCACTCCTACAAAGCAGGCCACACCTACAGAAGAGGTTCTAAATTTTTTTTAAACCCAGCACTCCTTGAGGTATTTATAAAAAACAGTAAAGGTGAGAAATTGATAGTGACTGTTGAAAAACAAGCCAACAATAAAGTAAAAACAATAGCTTAAATATCTATATACTCAATTTAAATATATATAACACAATGTTACTGAGCAAAGTTCCCAATACACTATTGGAAAAAAGCAAAAATCTAATAACAACAGCAGCTTTATACACTAGACTCAATTACCATCCAGACCAAATGCCTGAGGGAAAATCTGGGAATTCGAAACTTCAAGATATTTCTGTAGCAAACAGGCTTTATTTCTTAACCTCTTTTTCATTTTAAGGATTTGGGAATATTTACTTTTTAAAAAGAGGTCTTCAAATTTTCTGCTCCAACCCCCACCCCTGAAAAAAAATCCAATAAATCAGCATTGCTTATTTCATGCAACTGAGGGAAACCATATGACCCGTGGTCTGCATGTTTTTTCTTTTGTTGTATTTATTTTTATTAAAACACCTTGGTTAGAGCCTGTGCTTTCCATTTTTTGGGGCACCATATGAAGCTAACTGAATTTTGATATGAGATAGTGAACCTTTTTGCAAATGGCATGTTCAGTAATATGACATATGAGGAAAGTCTGAAATTGTTTCCTGTAGATATTTATTGAAGAGCCCTTCCTCACAGAAATCTTGACCAAGTTTGCTTGAAGGAAGTAGAAAGTAATGAGGCTTTCACTCTGCTGAATGATTTTGTTTCAGATCACTAGTTCCTTGCTGTAGGAAGCTGGTGATTCTGACAGGATATCTAAGGGGGAAGGGAAAGCTCAAGACATCTGGTTTCCTAATGCAAGAGGTTGAAAAAGGATTTTCTGTTGGCCAGCTGACACAATACATGCAATATATTATGAGCCAAATCACCAGGTCTAATCTAACTGTCTGGATTAAAGATATTGCTAAGAAAAAGCTTCACTCCTTTTGTCTGCTGTGATGCTGTAGACATGTACAGTATATGTATTTGTAAGGTGCAGTAAGGTTCTGTTATCATTATTTTGAAGAAAGCACTGTATCTTGCAGATGATTCTGATTGGACTTTGTAATGTTTGCATTTGTGTTTATTAGTTTGTCAAAATGTACAAGATAATAGGTATATTAAATATAAACATGGATATGAACGAAAGAAATGAATACAAATACATGGGGAGAGTGGGACAGGGGTGGTAGGCGCACTGGTGCGCTTATGCACCCCTCACCCCTTTATGGACCTCTTATGAATGGGGTGAGGTTCACGGTAGACAGTTTAAGGTTGAAGCTGTGAGGGTTAGAGGGTTCAACTGTATAGGTTTCAGAGAAGAGTCTTTTCAAAGTATATACAGGTAGTCCTCGACTTATGACCACAACTGAGCCCCACATTTCTGTTGCTAAGTGAGACCTTTCTTCCCACAATGTTTAAGTAAATCAGTTGTGAAGTTAGTAACAGGGTTGTTAAGTGAATCTGGTTTCCCCATTTGCTTGTCAGAAAGTTACAAAAGGTGATCACATGACCCTGGGACACTGCAAGTGTCCTAAATATGAATTGTCAGTTGCCAAGTTTCTGAATTTTGATCACGTGACCATGGGGATGCTGCAATGGTGGTAAGTGTGCTAAGTCACTTTTTTCAGAACTATTGTAACTCTAAACTGTAATTAAATGAACTGTTGTAAGTTGAGGACTACCTGTGTATGGGCATCCAGGCAATTATGTTATCATTATATCATGTCTGAAATGAACTGAATAAACACTCTCTGTTTCTCTCTCTCTCTGTCATGTTATCCATATTATTAAATATGACTATCAGAAATTTAGCTTGAACCTTGTTACTAAAACAGCAGTAACATTATTAGGTGATTTCATTTTTACTGCTACTGATAATAAACCAAGCTGTGCAAGAGTTGGCTCAATGGGGCTATACCTGGTGAAGGAGCCACTGTCAATCAACCATACATGGGAGAAAATGGATTGAACAGATTATGAGGTAGCACAACTGAAAAATGATTTTACAACTGTGCTTTATAACACTGAAAGTAGATGTTACAGAGCTGACAAATTCTGTCTAGTTAGCTATGCATATATAGGAAATAATTATTCTCAAAGAGTTTATCCCACTTACGCTAAGAATGCAGCCCTTAAAAATGAGAATCATTTTCCCCACTCTCTTAAAAAGCAGAACTATAATACACATCTGTGACCGAGCAATGATATGGTTTAAAATAGTTTCCAGATCAATGATCTGTGCAATACCTTCAAAAATGGGATGACAAAAGGTCGCAGTGGGAAGTTAGTGGCTTCTTGCAGTTTGGAATGAAATTCTTCAATTGTCAAAGTAGAGTTCTGTTGAATGAAAAAAAAATCTGACTCTGTAAAATGGATAATAGAAATGTTTTGGCAATATACATTAGTCTTGCAGTATTTTACACAGAGAAATGTTCTTAACTGCTTTGTATTAATAATGTTGTATCATTCACTTTAACTAAGAAAAAACATTACATTAATACAGTATTAAAAATACCACCACTATTTTATTGCTGTATTTCTGCAATTCAAATTACCCTCAAGATGATATTTGTTATGGGGGAAAAGGGTCTGGTTTCATTTAAATTCATGTCTTTATGCAGTCATGTTTGCATCTCATGTATGAGAAACAGAACAGGGATAATATATTTGGGGAAAGTACCAAACTAGCAGAAACATTTAACAGTCAATTGTCTCTGCATGACAGTTACTACTCAGTCTACTGCTATTGGTACAAAGCTTCAAGATAGTAAATAATGGCCCAGCCATAACTCAGTATCTATTGACTTTTTAATACTGTTTTACATAAAGACTTTTGGAAATTCAGTTCATATAGTGCAGTGTGTGTGTGTGTGTGTTAATCAGTTGTGAACTCAGAATGAGATGGAGCTGCCATGTTGAAGGCTATTTTCAGTACAGGTGGTCCTCAACTTCTCAACCTACATCCACAATTGAGCATAAAATTTCTGTTGCTAAGTGAAACAGTTGTTAAATGCATTTTGCTCCATTTTATGACCATAGTTGCCACATTTGTTAAGTGAATCACTGCAGTTGTGAAGTTAGTAACACGGTTGTTAAGTCAATCTGGCTTCCCCATTGATTTTGCTTGTCATAAGATCACAAAAGGCAATCACATGACTCCAAGACACTGCATCCATTATATATATGAGCCAGTTGCCAAGCATCTGATTACATTACCATGGAGGTACTGTAATGGTCATATGTATGAAACATGGTCATCAGTCAGTTTTTTCTGTAACTTTAAACAGTCAATAAACGAACTGTTGTAAGTCGAGGACTACCTGTATTGCCACTGAGTACTGAATAAGTCTCCATTGTTTATACATCATCCAAGTTAAGAAATATGTGAAGGTTCTGCTGAAACCTATATTTAATTTGAGTAGCTGAGACGTAAAGGTACTAATAAACCCACATCCTTCATTTAAATAGAGCATAAGATCAATATCTACTATTGTTGGAATGCAAAACATAGGATGCATGCGGAATCAGACCATAACATCCATTATTTTCTCTTCATGGTGGCACAACCATACTATTATGGAAACAAAAACACATATATGATTGGAAATCTAACAGAAATGGTTACAAATCCTATAAGAATTCTATATCAGCGACTGATATAGCTCTGGCAATAACACTTAGACTTGTATATTGATTCATAGTATTTTACAGCACTCTCTAAGCTGTTTACAGAATCAGCATATTGTCCCCAACAATCTGGGTCCTCATTTTACTGACCTCAGAAGGATGGAAGGTTGAGTCAACCTTGAGCCATCTGGATCAAACTCCTTGCAGTGGGCAGAGTCAGAGTCGACTTGCAATACTGCATTCTAACCACTGCACCACCACAGCTCCCAACATCCAAGAAGACACCTGATCTCCTTTTAATGGCCATCATCTTGTGCTAACAAACACATAAATTAAATCTGTAGTGTGTGATAAAGTACTTTACTTCTCTGCCCTAAAATCCCAATCATACTATGTGCAGGATAGTCCTTAGTTCAAAAAATCATGAAACAGGAAGGATTTTTTTTTGTATTATGGAAATCCAGGGTTCAAATAGGGTTCAAAGATTGGGCAAATCATTATGATTAAGACTTACTTGCCTCAACAGGATAGCTCAGGCTAAAAACACTTCTTTGAGCCCCTTGGAAGAATGCTGGGATATAAATGAAATAAATAAAATATAAGTACCACTTATCTTCTTGTCAGGTATATAAATAAAAGGGAGGATTCAAGGAAAGTCTGAAAAGAAAGATAAAAAAAACCAGTTATTCAATAATTTAATTCACTTACCACAAGTCCTAGCACAAGGGTACGCACTCTCTCCCCAATCTCTGGTGAAATGTCATTGCCAAACTGCTGTAAGGTTGTAAGAAATCTCTTCAGTTTGCTAAGCTGCCGAGCTCCACAAGCTGGTGGTAACTGCTGATTAGCCAAAGATGAGGAGGAGGAGGAGGATGGGCCATTGCTAAAGCCATTTGGTGGGGAAGGAGCCCCATTCAAAGCTGTTGGTGAATGGCTCGTGCCATTAGTTACTAAAAAAGGAAAGAAGAGAAAGACACATTGTCAGAACTTTTTCACCATCATATTTCCCCAAGTTATAATATTTCTAAAGGCAGTAAAGATAAAGGTTCCCCTCACACATATGTGCTAGTCATTCCTGACTCTAGGAAGCGGTGCTCATCTCCATTCCAAAGCTGAAGAGCCAGCGCTGTCCGAAGACGTCTCCATGAGGTGGCTGGCATGACTAAATGCCGAAGGTGCAAGGAACGCTTTTACCTTCCCACCAAGGTGGTCCCTATTTTCCTTCTTGCATTTTTATGTGCTTTCAAACTGCTAGGTTGGCAGAAGCTGGGACAAGTAACAGTAGCTCACTCTGTTATGTGGCACTAGGGATTTGAACTGTTGAACTGCTGGCTTTTCTGATTGACAAGCTCGGCGTCTTAGCCACTGCACCCCTTCTGAAGGCAGTATTTTGTACAAATGGGCAATGGTGAAATGCAATGGTTTAAAGCAATTGAACAACCATTTATTGTGGTATAGGGTTTCCTGCCCGAGCAAAAGGTTGGACTAGAAGACCCACAAGGTCCCTTCCAACTCTATTATCCTATTAGTTCACTAACTTGTTATTTTCCTAAATAGTAAGGATATTGTAGATAAATTGCAGTAAATGTGTTAGATTTCAAAAAAGAACTGAGCAATAGCTCTCTTTTATTAGATTCTCAGAAACAGGCCTGTGGATTCTTTGAGTGATTACTTACAAGTTTCCTATCCTACTTGACTTTAATTTAATATTGGGGTACCAGAAGATTAGTTGCAAACCCACATCAATCATAGCAGACATTTCGCAAACAATCAACAACCCAGCTATTTTTTGAGGGTTCCTCCAACATGCTTTCAAAATCCAAATGAGTCTCTTAGCTCTTTCTCAGCCCTAACATGAATTTATCTTAAAAGAAAACAACATATTGTAAAACTATATTTTTCTGTATATTTTAAATAGGATGCAAAAATACAGTTTCCTATTTATCTTTCAGGAGGAAAACTTTGTATGCATATAGTTTTGCAATTATAATTGTTGGATTCAATAGAAGCACATGATACATTTTAATGGAATGAAAACCTGATTACCAAACTAAGCATTCTGTTGAAATGTACACATATACCGTAAGTATTCATTAGATTGAAAATTGACCTTTCTTCCAGAAGATTAACATGGCATACCTAGGAAACTCTTACCATTATTTTTTCAAAACAACATCCTTATGGAATTTATCCAAAAAGACTTTTAGAACCAATAATTACTGTTTGCATAATGTTGGAAATTTTGTGGGTTTAAAATAAGGAACCCAGCACATTCTTTAAAACTGTGACTCAAAACTTGTATGTTTTTAATTTTCGCTCTTGGCTTACATGAGAAAGAGTAAGAAAAAGGCTTCTTTTTAAAAAATGCATTTGCTGTCTGATCACAAGTTCCTTAAATTCCCAATTGTGTTGATTGTATGGCTCTATGCATAAAAACCCATAAAAACCTGGTTCCTGCAAATGTTACATTATGTAAAGCGTGCAGGTTTTCAAAACGGCGTTTCCTTCTTTAGCATGAATTAACTGGGCAATTTTCAGGATGTGATTCTTTTTTTTTATAAGGACCTCTTTAATGTATAATGAAACATTCCAGACTGAGAGGGTTTTGAGGGTCTCAAACCCAGGTGAATAAAGTTCTAAGGATGCTGATCTCATAACAGCATAGAGCAATAATATCATGAAGCAAAATTCTGTGATTATAAATTCATTACATTACCTGAAAAAAAAAAGGAGCTGTCACTAGCCCAAACTTGCCATAATCACACTGGACTTTCGAAAAGTTATAAAAAGGTGAAACAAATTCATTGAAGACTTTACACTTTTTAAAATACAGTCTTTCCCAGAGGAGATTGGATTGGATTACCTGGAACTGGGCTGTAGGTAGCAATTTTATTTTTGCTACTGTGTGTGTGCAGGTGTATGTGCGCAGAGCCTCCCCCTTTCTATTCTGAAAGAACTCATGTGGCATTTTTTAAAATATCTCTACTTTCAAGGTTATAACAATACTTTTCAGTTTTAAATAAACTCCCCTTAATATAAGGAAATATGAGGAAGTACAGCTTGATGGGTTTTTTCCTGGCACTGTTCCTATCTGAGCATGTATACAGATGTTACTTATCACAATATACTCTAAGAATAGGAATAAAACCAGACAGCTGCTGACAGTGGGGAAACAATGCTCCTGAAAATAGAACAGGAAAACAGAAATATATAATAGCATCCCTGTCATTACGTGGTTAGAGAAGTTGGGTTACAATTATTGCAAACTGAGGCACTACTTTCCAATCTAAATAGTTGTCGAGCTGCTTTTAAAAATGAATGAGCTTTAAATCTACCACAATCAGCCGGATAGATATGTAGTAAATTGGAAATGGGTAATTCGGTTGTCAAAAAAGTTCATTTTTTTCTCTATCAGCATCAACTCTTATTCAGAATGCTGCAATGCAAACAAACAATAGTCTTAACTATTGAATTGGAAAGAAGGATAAGCAATGCTGGAGATCTGTATAATGCAGGGGACAATTAACAATTTAATTAATATTAATTCTTTTATCTCTTGCTATCCAAAATGAGAACATGAGGGCCAGAAGAAAGATCAAGATGTTTGCTGCAGCTTCACTTTTGTTATCAGAAACATACTGTATATAGAAGAAAAGTAGAATTACATGTTGTGAGTGAATTTTACTCCTTTATGTGTAAACGTCACTCACAAAACACCAATAGTTCTTCTTGTTAGAGGATAGTTTTATTTTGTTCACTTTATTGAATGTACTTCTATTGGTCAATGAAGTTTATGCCTTACATGTTGTGGGTGTGAAAGAACTGGTTCTTGGGGCTCCTTGGGTAGTTGGGGGAGGAGGCATTGTTGGAGGGGTCAGCCTGGATTGTGTCTTCACATCCACAGGTGAATCTGGCATTGTGGAATGCTTCTCAATCCGATCTGTAATAGATAAAAAGTTTATGTGGTCAAATAGGGGCAGAAAACGACATCCGCAAAAATATGTCAGCTACCAAATATAACATTTTTCGGTTCTCAGATGTACAAATATATTTTAGGATTGGATAACTTTCTTTAATTTGAGAATCTTTTTCCCCCCGTTATTGAAAGCGAACCAGAATGTGTGATAGCATTATCCTTAACTCTTCTATAATTGAGTTCAAATGGTGTTGTAGCTGGAAGAATGATGCTTAGTATAAAGAGATTATAGCCTTAACAAGACCATCAATGACTAAGTGAGAAATACTGGCATTATAATTCTTTCATGAAGATCAGCTACATAACAACTTTTAACATTTGATATTTACTCTAATTTATTTTTCTGGCACTGCCATTCTATGGCCAAACGCTGTAAATAAACCTGTGGAAGTTAGAAAGATCCAGTCTTCGCAATTAAAGTTTGGACTGTGCATGAAAGGGCATATTCCACCAACTTTCTGAATACATTGCTTTTAATAAAAACCTGTCAGCAATTTGGTTTGCTATAACTACAGCTAATCCTCAACTTACAAACACAACTGAGCCCCAAATTTCTATTGTTCAGATTTTTGTGAAGTGAGCTTTGCCCCATTTTACGTTTTTTCTTGCCATAGTTGTTCAGTGAGTCTCCGCAATTGTTAAGTTAGTAACACGGTTGTGAAGTGAATCTAGCTTCCCCATTGACTTTGCTTGTCAGGAGGTTGCAAAAGCTGATCACACCATCCAAAGATGCAGCCACCGTCATAGGTATGAACTAGTTGCCAAGCATCTGAATTTTGGTCACATGACCATGGGGATGCTGCAATAGTCATAAATGTGAAAAAACATCATAAGTCACTTTTTCAGTGCTGCTGCATCTCTGAACGGTCACAAAATGAACTTGTTGTAAGTATCTTCTCCCTTGCTTGAGCAAAAGGCTGTCCCTATAGCCAAAACCCACTACTGAATACAGGCAATCAGGTATAACTATAGCCCTGTACTCAGTCATGTTTTACAATGAAGCAATGAAGTTAATAAATTTAAGACCTGATGTATGATACATTCTGATTAAATACTCTTGGTGATGTAGTGTCTAAGCATGCCATGAAGACATTTTATATGCCATTTAAGCAGGTACTTTAATGTACATCAACATTAATTAATTTTAAAAGTCACCTACAAAACTTCTCTGACTCCCGAATATAGCTCAAGATTACACATTTTTTCTCATGATATTGCTAGATTAAGTTGCCTAGCAAGATAGTCTTTTTCCTATACCGTTTTCCCTTTGTACACTCGATACATGTGCACAGCAAGCAACTTAATAGCTGTAAGGTCTGTGTAAAGATGAAAGCATTTACAAAGTACCACATATAACCCTTAATAGCATGATTAATATTCCACATAATGTCTGGAAATTAACTGTGTCATTTATTCTTAAATACGGTAGATTGTTTGAATTTCTTGTAGTCTCTGAATCATCAAATTTGAAATTTGAGAGGGGAAAAAACGGAGAAGCTTGTTCTATGTTATATGTTTTGCAAACATACTAGTATAAAAGTGCTACATTTTATAAGAATCTTGGGAAAATACCGTATCAAGTTATATTTGTGGATAGAGAAAATCAGTAAACATAATTTGCCATTTAGACTTTAAAAATCAAACTAACAGTTAATAGAAATCTCTATGGAAGTAAAAAGCCAAAATATTGTTTCATATTTTCCTCTTTCACACCCCAATTGTTTATATTGGCTGTATTGATGGTCCCTTAGCCACTTTCCTTGGCAGAAGATACAATATTAAGATGATGCTAAATTTAATAGCACTGAATTAAAAGCCTGCGTAGGAAGTCTAATCATTAAACGACAGTGACTGAAATACGAACACTTAAATAAATATAGCTACATCCAGTTTGATTTCCTGTGTGATTTATTTTGCAGCTCACAATGGGTAAAACAAATATAAAAAAATTCCTTCTATAAACCTTTGTTTAAAAAAAATAATCAAAGGCACCAGAGGACAAGATTGGTGAAAAAAAATTTTTTTTGGCTAGCATCCAAAACAATTAGATTCAATAGAAACCCTACTGAAGTGAGCGGTAACAATATGAAAACAACTTTGTGTTTGAATTTGTCACTTTCCAGAAAGAAACGGCAATTGGTAGAAGCTCTGATTCCTTCGGGTTATAATTTAAATTCAGTAGACAATCAAGCATTTATTTTTCAAAATTTCTAAGAGAAAATAGAATTTTGTAATAGAAAATAAAGACCGGGAATCATCATTTCATTCTTAGAACTTATCAGAGTTAAGATTTTTTAATAGAATTAAACCTAAAAAGTAAAGCACTTTGCAAACTGTAGGACTAAACATTAAGACATCTACAGAGATGGGTGAAGATGAGTGTTCTCTAGGGAAAAAAATGACTTGGCTGATACTGTGTCCAAATATTTAATAGGCAAAGTAAATAAATTTAAACCCAACAAGTTTGGAAATGTTAATTGTTTGTTGAACTCACCTACAGCCTCAGCAGCGAGCAAATAAATAGCATTTAACCTACAATGCAACAGAGGAAAAGCGGCATGGCAGGGAATACAGGCTGTCCTAAATAAAGGCAGATATTTCTGCCATGCCAAGAAAGGAGAGAGAAGAGAGGCTTGCCAGAGCTGGCCAGAAGATAACATTGGCAACTGCTGGTCCATCTGTTTTGCATTCTGCTAACACTCATGCTGAAGTGTCGGAGAATGTATTCCAGGTACACAGATCTGAAAACATGTGTGAGCCTGGACATGAACAGAGAGGGAGCGGTATGTGGAGAAAGAAAAGGAAGTTATATTCCAGTTGTGAAAAGGTAATCACAAGATATCACTCCAATTCAATTCCTGGGAACTGAAAAAGTAATTTCTTTCTCTCTACAACACAATGGCAACATATTGCCTCCCATTTTAGAGCAGTTGAAAAATGGGTTGACCTCAAAAGAGGAAGGAAAAAAGAGGAAAGGAAGTGTGGGTGGCCTGGCTGACTGTATGGTCTTCAAGGCAAAAGCTCCATTTATTATTCAACTAGACAAGAGAACATGCTATTTCTGATATATTAGTTGCCCCAGTATAGGGTTTATAGCCAATATTATAGATAAAGTCTTCTATTAATATAATGGGAGTTATATTTTCCAACTCCTTGCAATTACCTTCTGCTTACTATGCAACCTACGTCCTCAGAGTTGTTGGGCAAGGTACAGGACTGTAAACCACTTGGTTAGCAGTCTGTTGTGTTGATGAACACAATATTAGTTCATACATCGCATAAGACACTATTAAAAAACAATTGGTATCTTTCAATCTGTAAATTACTTTCCAATCTTTTAAAAATGAATTTAAACTAATTTGAAATGATTATGCATAATAATAATCTTTGTAACCTAATTATAAATTAATTAGTGTTATTGACTATCATAATAATTTTGGTAGATTTGGTATATATACTTCTATTAGTTCCCAGGGTTTCAAAGAAATCCTTCAGCTGTTGGAATGAAGACGACGTACCAGTAATTTGGATAATTCTGACACCTTGTAAATGTGTAAAAATGGTAGAATTGAGGAAATGACAAATCTTAAATCTTAAACACTATAACTATATGCTACATTGGACATTTAAAAAAGCATTTTCAAAATCTCCATCAATCATTGGCCATAATTACATGTATTATTTTTGAACAGAACTAGATGTGTAATGAACACTATCATGATGGGAATCTGTCCATAATGTCAAAAGCAATCCACAAAAACTGAGTTATCTTAGACAGTGTTATTAATTTTTAAATCTAACTTTGATTCTAAAACAAAGGAGATGTAGAAAGATTGTAAACTTGCAAATGGCAGCTTTATGTTTTTGCAAATGTACTAATAACAGAAAAAATTAGGACGTAGAACCTAGCTGGTAAAGATGGTCAGATGGTCAGAATTTCCATGTTAGATGTTCTAATTACTAGATGAAGTTATATTTAGGTATGAAAAAAATGAGCTTATGCAACTAAAGTTTTAATTTACCTCTCAGAGACCAATGGATCATAGGAAAGAAGTGGGATGAAGCAGGAGACTCACATAGCATCCCCAAAAAGCTCCTTCCACTTTTTCTCAAGCTTATCTTCCACTTTACCTGTTAATTTTTCAACACAAATTTACCTTTCCCCATCGCTTAAGGCAGAAAGAAAAATGGATATGAATCTTGATAATTTCATTCTAATACAACCAATAGATCAAATTTGTTAAATCCTGCAAGATAATGGCAATGAATGGTCATAGCCAGAAGGATCCCATACAAAAAATTCAACTTCTTAAAACAACAAAAATAGGAGAAATAGATGATTCTCTTTTGTTTGTAGAAGTCATCCTTCGTTTGTATAACCCATTCATTTGGAAGAAAACTAGAAGTACAGCACTTTCTTAGTTTAAATGGCTTGGAACTTTTTTCTATCCTGCCGAGGTGGCGCAGTGGTTAAATGCAGCACTGCAGGCTACTTCAGCTGACTGCAGTTCTGCAGTTCGGCTGTTCAAATCTCACCGGCTCAGGGTTGACTTAGCCTTCCATCCTTCCGAGGTGGGTAAAATGAGGACCCGGATTGTTGTTGGGGGCAATATGCTGACTCTGTAAACCGCTTAGAGAGGGCTGAAAGCCCTATGAAGCGGTATATAAGTCTAACTGCTATTGCTATTGCTATACCAATCTTCTGAAAGACAGTTGAACAGGTATGTAAAAACAGGCTACAAGTAAGAGGTTGTAGGCTGCTACTTTAAAGCAGACGAATTCAGTCTTCTGAACTATCTTTTATTTTTTTTAAAAATAGTTTAGAATATTATTTTAGTTCACTTCTTCATTCTCAGTTGGTCTGGGATCTGGTTATGGTTCATATATTTTTTGAACCATGACTTTGACTTGTTTGCTTTTTATGTTTCTCAATTTTGATTTTGGTTTTTAATTGGGTTTTAAAT